CGGGGTAGCCCGGGACGGCGGGTGGGCCGGGCCGGGCCGGGCCGCTGCTTGTTGGTTTGTCCCCAGCTCACGATTGATGTTCTTGATCGCTGGATGAACAGTCGATGTAATCATTGATAGCCATGGCTTGTAGATAAGCGTTTTAGTTACTGGACAACGCTAGCAGAAATACTCCTCTGCGGAGGTGTAGAAATGCAAATACTGAGCAGGTTTTTTCAGTATTAGATGTAGTTACGGTTTATTCATGATATACCGAGCTTTCTTCACCACCCCTGCTATTGCAAATCTGCTAAGACCTGGCATCCAGCTAAAGAGTATTACTACAGGTTTAACTGAATTTCTTTGAGAATACAGTTCATGTTGTAGTGACGTGACGGAATTCAAGCCTCAGTAGTTCTGCAGCCCCATCATGATTTTGTCGCTGTAAACGCTTGAAATTCAAACTATAAATTGAGCATTTTGCAAATAAAAGGTCGGCAAGCAGCTTTTCAAAGGCAGTGTTGACACAAGTAGTGTTTCATTCTTAAGCTGTGTACCAGCACAAATTGTTTGGCTTTTGAGCCAGAGGGATTGCAAAACCGATCTTGAGTTCCTTGATTATTTTTCATCTGGCTCTGTCCCTGGGCCGGTTCATCCTTTAGTTAGGGAAATGTTTGTTTGGTTATGCAGGCAAGACAAGGCCGATTTAATTATACAAGCCCTGGAAGAGAATGCAGCTTTTCATTCAGCCTAAGAAATTGGAAGTATCTGCTCTTGAAAATCTGAAGAGCTTTGGTTGATACGTGGTTGATATACAACTGTGTAAGTGCTTCCAGATTAGGGAAGGGAGACCCTGCACCACCACCCGCCTCCAAAAAACCCACAAAAACCCAAAAACCAGCCAACGAAAACAAAGCTGCACAATAAAAGAAAAAAAACCAAACCACACTGGACAAAAAGATCTAGAATCTAATGGGCTTTTGGATTTATGTAGTAGCTCAAACAAGTTGACAGGCTCTTCCTTTAATGCACACAATGAAAGGGGTAAATGTTAAAGGGCGCTGCCTTGTGCAAATTTTGCCAAGGAAATTTACATTTCAGGCTTAGGACAGCATTGCTAATTCGGCAGCATATCAAAAGAATTCAGCTTTTTTATAAGCAGTTAAATAGTTGTTTCTTGGACACTTGTGGGATGTCTGGTTCACTCTGATGCACATGTGTAAAAATTTTGCCTCACACTAAATAGCTTTCAATAAAATATGGCTGGTTTTGAGCTGAATTTTCTGGCTCATATTTGGATAACTGTTTTCCACAAAGTGTCTAAATAAAGCTACATTC